CGCAGGTAGTAATTGGGTCCCCGGGAGTAAAATCAACGGCAGCCTGTACTCACCTGCTGGAGAAGGCCAGAGCCAGCTGGTCGATCGCCTCCAGGAAGGCGGTGGGGTCGGCCTTCTCGTCCTCATAGCTGAAGCCTGCGGAGACGAAAGACAGGTTAGGGAAGAATGCGTCGACACTGAGAGGAGGGGAGAGAAGAAAGGAAGAAGGGAGGGAAGAAAGAAGGAGGAAGGGAAGGAAGAAAGGAAGGAGGGAGGGAAGAAAGGAAGGAGGGAGGGAGGGAGGGAGGGAGAGAGGGAGACGGAGAGGGAGACGGGGAGGGAGGGAGGGAGGGAGAGAGAGAGAGAGAGAGAGAGAGAGAGAGAGAGAGAGAGAGAGAGAGAGAGAGAGAGAGAGAGAGAGAGAGAGAGAGAGAGAGAGAGACGAGAGAAAAGGAGGACGGATATCCACCCTCAAAGACATGAAATAACAAGACAATTTTTTTTCCCCAACCGTTGCATCTCCAAAGCAATTCATCTGCAATCCCTGATCTCAAAGGGACCGCACACACAACAGATAACTCTTGTTCAAAATAGAAAAAAATATGAGATGCATCATCACTTTATTCCCCCCGACGACCCCCCCCCCTTATCACCCCAAAAAAAAAAAAAAACACCCGATTCTCTCCCGTAACAGACGAGGCCACTGAATCCATCTGCGCGCCCATAAATACCGATTACTCACGCCCACACCCGGTCCGTGAAATTGCGCACGGCTAATGAAAAGCTTTAATTCAGCCCGGTAGCATCTCCTCTGCTTGATTACGTCATTTTTACTTGATGAGAATAGCTGGAGATAATCATCGGGGGGGGGGGGGGGGGAACTGGAGATAATTTCCAGTAAATGGATGAATTAGGGTAACTCTCATAAAAGGGGGGGAGGGGGAAGGGGAGGCGAGGAGAGGAGAGGAGAGGAGAGGAGAGGAGAGGAGAGGGGAGAGGAGGGGAGGAGGAGGGGGAGGAGGGAGGGGGAGGGGGGAGAGGGGGAAGGGGACGAACACGTAAAATTTATGACGAGGTAAAATGGTATAAATCTGAACCGAGTAATCATGCACTAAACTCGTCCTGAGTAATTACGCTAGGTTCGCAGCTTTTATTTTGCAATCATTGTGCATTAATCATGGCTAACGGGTTGGTGAGGCTATAAATCGAGGCGCATTATTCTGTGCATAAGTGCAACTGTAGTCCAAACGGCCATACGCCTGATTTAATAGGTCCTTTTTGTTTTCCAGAATCTGAGGGAGTATGAACTCTCCCTAATTAAAATATGGGCAGTGATTTAAGAACCAATTAAAGCTTCGTCCATTACCGCTTCCCTTCCGAGTTCCTCAATTACCCATTCCGAATGTCGTTTACCCAGATAAACACAAATTGATCAAATCAGGTGCAACAGCAAAACTCAAGAGTGAAAGTATCTGCAATGTAAGTTACGATTATATTTTCCTTCATGTAACTCCCACAGAGAGGAGCCATAAAAGCGGAGGATGAAGTTAATGGAAATCACACGTTCTGAATATAAATCCCGTTTGAGGGAAAAACTAAATCAAGGTTTCCTGGAATAATTTAAAAAAATAATAATAATAAAAAAAATCGTTGCTCGCAAGGGGTTGCCTCTTCCACTTGCAACGTGATCAGCACTTCCACTGGGTGACCTGAACTTCGGATGATTTATTATTCAATTCCTCCCTTCGCCACTAAGCTCGGTAATCCCTCCTCCCCCCCCCTCCCAAACCCCACCCTCCAGCCCACCCCCCTTGCACTAGCTCAGTTCTCCGCGTGAATGCAAAAGCAGCTTCCCATTCGAACGTCTCGGGGAGCGAGTGACCTGCTCTCCCAGGGCGTCTCTCTCGCATGTCACATGACGGTGACGCTGGACACCACATCTGCCTCGACAGCACCTCTATCTGGGGCCAAGAACGCGACGAGAGCGAGTCACGTGATCATTTGGCGGCCAAGTGTCCATCTCCCTCGCGCTGGCTGACCCCGCCATGGCCCCACCAGCTGTCCACAGGTAATAATACATACACGTCTCGCTGCCATGGCCTTATGAAACAACGGGGTGGGGGTGTGGGGGGGGGAGGTGCCCGCCAGAACTGCCGCACTTTTGCCAAGGAAGGAGCTTCATCTTTCTTATTAGCGTCAGGTTTGAGTTCTTGTGTAAATGCCCTCGTCTGTTTATGCATTTGTAGCTTATCTACATATGTGCGTCCATCTCTCTCCACTCTTGTTTTTTTTTTATTCGCTCCCTTCTTTGTCTTTTAGTGTTTCCTGTCTTTCAACCCTCCTTTAATCTCCACTCTCTCTCTCCCTCTCTCTTTCTCACACACACGCACACACACACACACACACACACACACACACACACACACACACACACACACATACACACACACACACACACACTCTCTCTCTCTCTCTCTCTCTCTCTCTCTCTCTCTCTCTCTCTCTCTCTCTCTCTCTCTCTCTCTCTCTCGCTCTCTCTCTCGCTCTCTCTCTCGCTCTCTCTCGCTCTCTCTCGCCCTCTCTCGCCCTCTCTCGCCCTAGCTCGCCCTAGCTCGCCCTAGCTCGCCCTAGCTCGCCCTAGCTCGCCCTAGCTCGCCCTCTTTCATTCTAAACCTATATTTTTGCCAACTTTCCCTCCCTTCCTCCGCTGACAGAAACTGCTCGGCATCGAATGCAAATGGGGACACCGCCAGGCATTCGGACGCGACGTGAGCCTCGCCACACGATAGACCCAATGAATCCGCGGTCGTGTTCCCTGCGAGGCCCGGTCCGCTAGGCTTCGGTTGAGGCCGTCTGCTCGCGGAGGGAAGATCAAGCAACCGCTCTCTCTGCCGGGCAAGGCCAGTCACTCTAATCCCCGGCTCTGAGTCGAGGCTGCCAGGGCGAAACACGTACAAACACGTCCGCGCGGGCTTAAACGGACGGGCATATCCACAAAGGCACAATCATATCTTCACAAGCACATCCACACAGCCCAATCCTGAGAGGCACACCCACGCAGGCACATCCACACAGCCCAATCCCGAGAGGCACACCCACGCAGGCACAGTTATGCAGACACATCCGAACACACAAAAAACACTTGTACAGTAAATTCCTTTCGAGGGGACGGCCGCACTTCCCGCTTCAATACCCAACGACGCAATGAGTGGGAATAACAAGAAAACTTTCTGCATATTTCTTTGCTCTTTTGCATAAGGAATTGGGCGGAAATTCCCCGAATAGGTCAGGGAAAGCTTTAAGGATTGCCTTCTACCATAGTGCCGAATTACGCTTACAATTCAGCTTGAAATATTCGTATCCACACTCACAAAAAAACGAAAAGTAAACGAAAAAGTAATCGTCAAAAAAAGAGTAAAATATCCATCCTTTCAACAGCCTTAGCAAGCACACAGCCATATGGTCCATTTTTAGAACTATCCAATTTCGAAAAAATAACTAGCAAGCCGAACTGGGACCCTCGCAACACAATGACACGGTTCCCCACACTCCGCCCGGCAATATTGCACTCAAGAATGACTTCCACGTGGGAAACCATTCAAATTCAAACGTGAAAATTGGTTTCCAGATATCAATTGCAGCACCTTTCGTTTTAATCATCTAGCCGCTGCAAGGCCTGTTGCCATATGTTATTCGACCCTCTCCGCTTTCCTTTTTTTTCAAACCAGTCAAAAAAGAAAATAAAAATGGTCCGACCCGTGAGTATTCGAATATTCAGCATCCAGACATCACTTGGAGAGAAAAAAACAATAAATCACAGAAGAGCTCGAGCGTATTTTGGCCACGAGGTTGCAGGTCAGCCAGGGTAGGCCTCTGTCACACGGAGGCAAGGACGCTGTTCTCCGCGTCGCGTCGGAGAGGCAGGAAATTGTGCCTGGAATTAAACAGGAGTTTCCATCGCGCCGAGAAACGAATATCCCCTCCGTGCTTTCTGTCACTTTCTGTGAATGAAACGTCGTGTTTGTGCTCTAGGTGGTTGCTTTCAACACATTTATCATATTATTCTATACTCACTATAATAATCCTTGCCTTTAACAAGACATACCTACGAAAAATAAAATCACTGTAATCACTTTAATAGAATTAACACCAAAAAAAAAAAAAAAAAAAAAAAAAAAAAAAAATCGGTGCAATTCTCTCCTCCAGGAGTACGCAAGAAGAGGCAATCCGCCTTTCTTTCTCTGTCCAGAATCACGCTATAAATCTTGCTCCTTTTTCGCCCGCCTCCATTTCTCTTCGTGCCTTCCTACCTCCTTCCTCCTAATGCTCTCCGTTCTTCATCATTGTCTTTCTCCTTTATCCCTCGAGCTTATTTTTCTTTCTTCTTTTTTCTTTCTTCTCTTTTTTATTTCTTTATTCCTTCTCACTCTTTCACCGGCCTGATGTTCCTTTCATCCTGATCCTCCCATTACACGCCCGCGCGCGCTCCCCCCTCAACCACTTCCCGATATCCCTCTTCTTCTTAATCAAGTCCTCTTCTTACCCTCTTCCTCGTTCACTAACCCCCCCCCCATCCCCCGTCCAACACTAATCCTCCTCTGGCCCTCCTCCACTACCCCTCCTTCTTAGCCCCCTCCTCCTCTGCCCCTCCCTTCTGCCCCTCACCTCTACCCCTCCTCCTCTGCCCCTCTTCCTTAGCCCCTTCTCTCTACCCCTCCTCCTCTGCCCCTCCTCTCTGCACCTCCTCCTCTACCCCTCCTCCACTACCCCTCCTCCTCTACCCCTCCTCCTCTGCCCCTCTTCCTTAGCACCCTCCCCTCTACCCTTCCTCCTCTGCCCCTCTCCTATCCCCCTCCTCCTCTGCCCCTCTCTCTACCCCTCCTCCTCTGCCCCTCTTCCTTAGCACCCTCCCCTCTACCCTTCCTCTTCTACCCCTTCCCTCTACCCCCTCCTCCTATATTTCTCCCCCTCTGCTCCCCCCACCCCCCCCCCCTCACCCCACCCCCGCCTTCTACCCATCTACCCGTGCCCCTCTGCCTCTCCTCCTACCCCCCACCCCCCAGCCTCTCCCCCTCTCCTCCTCCCCCTCAACCCCAAGGCCCCAAGGCAAGCTCAAATATACTTCAATCTCCTCGCTTTCAGACTTCGCTAATCCG